TCTTCATATAATAAAAAGACTCAAGACTCTTTTTAGTCTTTCCATAATAAAATTCTCTTCCAAATATTATACAAAGGACAGACTGCTCTAAGGATCAAAAATACTACAAAGAGTTCACAAAGTATAATGAAATTCTGAGATTCATAAATGAACAAACAGCTACTGGCACAAAAAGCTTAGATAAATAATGCAGATGTCTGTTCGTTTGCTCAAGAAATACTGAATTTTATAATAAAATACGGAAGGTAGAGATCTTCATGGCCTATAGTCACATCACTAAAACCACAGAAAACATTTTTGGTAATTTTTTTCTTAATAACTGGAAAACCCCTTATCATAACAATGAATAAATAAATGACATTACAGGCAAAGACACAAATTATGTAAAGAAAAAAGCTTAAAGGCTCAGATTTTCTGCTACACATATCCCTTACTTTGAGCTTCAAAAATTTGAGGCTTCTAGAATTCCTTGTGGTTAACATTAAGCAGTAATACAATTAACCCTTATTTCTATCAGAAAACATTAAACTGACTGAAAGAAAATTATCTAGAATTTTGATTCTGATCAATTTAAACATAATGCCATGAGTCATCTAGATCAGTCAAGCAAATATTAGAGTTCATGATAAATGAATCAAAATATTTTTTAAAGATCTGGAAACAAACGTTTTAAATAATTTCGTATTTGCTGAAGTCCTCCTATGTGTGACACACTGAGGTAGGCACATTCATATTGAGGCATGCACTTTCACATGCATTACATAATTTTGTTCTCCCAGCAACCACGGATTATTATCCTGATTTTACAAATGAGAAAACTAAGACCAAGTGATTTGCCAATGGAAATGATGCTTGTATAAGATTCAGTCAGAACACCAATTCAAATTTTCTGACCCTCACTGTACTGCCAAAACTCAAGCACTGTCAATCTCTGCTCTTGCAAAGCATGTTAATCTTTTTATCTAGGGAGAGGTGAAAATAGAGATGGGAGAAGAAAAATTCTTCCTAATGTTACCAAAAAAGACTCACTGTGCTTTATCTGACATAATTTATTCAGTCTGACTTAAATGCTTTGCTGCACGTTGTCTACCCGCTTAGACATCGCTTACCTTCAGATACACAGCCTACACCAAAACCTAACTCAAGAATCACCTCCTCCAAGAAAGTTTCCCAGATTAAATGACCTGTTCCCCTCCTCCCAAGCTAACATCCTCCCTTTATCATTTCGCTGCTTGCATTTAGTTTGGACTACATTAACAGATACTCCTTTTGTTCTCCAGTCATATATCTGGAAGCAGATTTTTTTCATTCATTAACTACTGAGCATTTGGAGATTCAATGGTGAGCAAAACAAAGACCTTGCTATCATGGAGAATTTACATTATCTGGATCTTCAACAAAGGTAAAAATAACAGGGTATAAGAATATGATGCTCTAGCACTAGGATTTCTTCTCTACAAGGTCTCCGAAAATAGCTCTCTCCCTCGCAAGCTTGATAACACTTTTCAGGAAGAAAAATTCCTTCTATCACGCCTTCCACATGAGAATTTTATGACTTTGTGAGGATATATGAGGGATGGGGACCAAGGTGGGAAGAAAGATAGATCTAAAATCTCTCAGGGGTTTCCCACATACCGCCATGAAATATGCACACAACATGGGTCTAGACATCTCTTCCTGTGTCTCATCACAAGGAAGCTATACTTTGGCCACAACTGCTCCAGTCAAGCACCTCTACTAATCTCCTTGTATCTAGCCACCTTCATTAAAAATTGTATATTTCTCAGAGGCTTTTCTCTTTTTTTGAGACTGAGTCTTGCTCTATCTCCCAGGCTGGAGTGCAGTGGCATGATCTCGGTTCACTGCAACCTCTGTCTGCCGGGTTCAAGTGATTCTGCTGCCTCAGCCTCCCAAGTAGCTGGGATTACAGGCACGCACTGCCACGCCCAGTTAATTTTTTTGTATTTTTAGTAGAGACAGGGTTTCAACATGTTGGCCAGGCAGGTCTCGAACTCCTGACCTCAGGTGATCTGCCCACCTCGGCCTCCCAAAGTGCTGGGATTACAGGCATGAGCCACCATGCCTGGCCTCTCAGAGGCTTTTTTATTCAAGTTGTGTTTGTCTTATTTGCAGTTCATTATTTGTAACATTAAGACAGGACCTATTCCTCTTTGAATTGCCTGATGCTCCAAGAACATTGCTATAAATGTTTTTAACTTTCGATATAATACCAACATTACAACATGACATTTCAGGTATTGTTATTAGGATTAAAGTTTTCCAAATTAATATCAGAAAACTAAATCTATGTACTGTATCAATTCTTTGTCTTTAATGCCTCAATTCAAGAAATCTGCTTTTGAAGGATTATTTACAAACCTAAGCAAGTTGAAATGTACTAACACTGGTTAAAATTCTGCAATTCATACTTTTAAACGAAAGATCCGCTAGGCACAGTGGCTCATGCCTGTAATACCAGCACTCTGGGAGGCTAGGCAGATGGATCTTGAGGCCAGGAGTTGGAGACCAGCCTGGCCAACATGGTGAAACCCCATCTCTAATAAAAATACAAAAATTAGCCTGGCATGGTGGCGCGCACCTGTAATCCCAGCTACTCAGGAGGCTGACACATAAGAATATCTTGAATCCAGGAGGCAGAGGCTGCAGTGAGCCAAGTTGCACCACTGCACTCCAGCCTGGGAAACAGAGTGAGACTCTGTCTAAAAAAATAAAAATAAAATTTCTTTTGTAATGCATATTTTACAAATTCATAATTTCATCATTTTTCTTAAAACAAACTAAAACATAACTTCATTATACACAATTGTAAATGTATCCCCAAAGTGTAGTCTAAACCTTTCAATTTTTAAATGAACCAAGAAACTGAATATTAACAAATGTATAAGTACCCTGAATGTGTTATAAAAAACATATTTGACTGCCTTTAAAATGCAATAACATTCTAACTGGAAAATATAGTAGCATCTTTCCACAGATCAGAGATTCAATAACTATTATGATCCAATCAAAGAGAAATAAACCATGGCCATTTTTAATTAAACAGGCATTTCTAAGCACCTGTGTACACGGTATTGCTGTTCAAACGGTTGACATGGAATGTGACCGCAATACCTTGATGTCCATAATTAAAGACCCAAAAGGTAGCTTAAGTTTCATCTATTCCCTTTCTCAGCTCTTTGAACAGGCATATTATAGTCACTCCATAAATGGTTAATATCGAAAAAAAATAAGTTACAAACATTTGAAATTAGTTGTACTTTCATAGAGAACAGTTTTAAACCGCATGGCCTTACTCTTCCTTTTCCAACCTATTTTATAAAACTAGCATGATCTTAATAATTTCACTGCAAAACAGGTTCTAGCAAGCATAGAAACTGATCATAGCCTCTCAGCATGAGCAAGTTTAGATGAAACCCTAGAAAATTAGCAAAATCTAACAATCAATTCACCCACGATTCTCCACAATTCTTGCTCTCTCTAGATACAAAGGGAGGCAAAAACTGTTTTAAATGATTATTTCAAAAGCAGCACTAATTTGGGGAAAAACTTAACTGCCATGCAGGAGACACTGTGTTACTACTCAGACGTCATTTAAGTCTTCCAGCAGCAGAAAGGGAAAAACATCATTAAATTTTTTATTTAATGCATATATACTTACATTATCAGTTAAAGTTTACCCATCTGTTTACCTAGTACAAGTTACCTATTATTTCAGAAAGCATTTAAATAAAATGAAATTAGGTTACGTTCTGCAACGCAGATGTGTCTCATAAAGAGGGTTAAATGACTTTTGTGAATGGAAAATCTGCATATACTGTTGCTTCGCCTCAGCCAGTCTTGAGTGGGTGGTTCAATGAACCTAAAGCATGCTGCATGTGAAGCTCCTTGGAACCTGACTCCACTCTTGAGAGAGGGCTTAGAAACAAATTTAAAAGCACAGCAAAGGCTTGGCTTTCCTCCTACGTTACAAGAAGGCCGGGAGAACTGAGGCTTAAGGGAACACACCGTGTCGCCCGGCTCTGCAAAGGCGGGTGTGGTCTGCGGTGCGCGGCACAGCCTCCTCTGGGGCTGTCACAGGAAAAAAGGAGCCTCGTCTTAACCGCACCAAGCGACAAAGCGCCAGCTCTCCTGGGCGCGGGGGCTCCCAACGAGACCCATGCCATCGACCTATCAAACTTCAGGAGGGACAGACACCCGGGGCAGTCGAAATGCTCCAAGAGCCTCCCACCCCCGTTCCCCTGCCGCGGCTTTTGTAAGGCTGCAGATGCACCTACCGTGGGCCCCGAAACACTCCACCCCGCCAGCCTTTCTAATCCCCCTACTCCAAAATGGAACAAAGGAGCCAAAGAACTCCTCGGCGCGGGTGGCCAGGAGTCCCTGACAGCCCGAGCTCAGAATGTGGCAATAAGGGTGCGCAGTCGCTCTGAGGGGTGCGGACCCAGCACCCCCACCTCAGGAATGGAGCAAACACTCACCCGTGCTGAGCTCCCAGGGAGGCGGGACGCAAGGAGCCGGTTCCTCCGGAGTCGCGGCGGCGCCGGGGTCCGGGGCCCCGTACGCGTCTAGTCAGACCCCAACTTCTCTCGGCCGCTGTCGTCGGCGGCAGCTGGGGCGCGAGCCCGGACGGAGGGCGCTGCCCAGCTGCCGCGGAGGCACTGCTGGCTCAGCCTCCGAGCGGGGCGGGTACTTTCGGCCCCGCGGTCCACCGGACAGGGCGGACCCCCACCTTCCCTCAGAGTCGGCTTGTTACCGGCAGCGGCTACTGCGGAGTCCAAAGCTAACACTACAGCCGCCGCCTGGCCAGGAGCGCGTCGCGGCCTAATGTTGTCATCCGCCGCGTCGCCGCCTTTCTGGGCACCCAGAACCGCCAAGATCCTTCACATTCTAGCGCCCTCCCACTGCCCAGCCCGCCCCTAGGATCACGGGCTTCGGCCACGCCCTCTTCCCGTCACGTGACGGTGCCCGGATACAGAGGTGGAGTTGCTTACCCTGCCAGGCGGGCGCGAACAGCGCGGGAGCCAGTGTCCACCTTGCTTCGCCAGGGTGTTATCGCCAGCCAGTCCCCTTCCGCATGCCCAAGGGCAGCCTCAGGAAGCGAGCCCACCAAAGGTCGGCCCAGCGCCTGTTGATCGGCCAGGCCTTATGGGCGGGTCGTACCGGGCCCTTCTTGGCCTGAGGAGATTGCACAGTAGGGCTCCCTGGTCTGGTCAGGGCTCAGTTAGTACCCCTCTCCTTTTTAAGGCTTGGTAAAAGCTTTAGCGAAACAAAGAAAAAAGAACGCATCGTAGAGTGTCTGGCCTAAGAAGCATTCCGTAACTACTTGTTCCTATTTCTAGTGGCACATTAATCGTGGCATTTGATTCACTGCTTCCCTCATTAGAGGTTTTTTTTTTTTTGAGGAAACGGTGTATTTCAATCACGCTGGGATGAAAACAGCCTAGCAAACTTATTTTTATTCCTTCTTGTGTTCAGGATCCTGCTGCCAATTTTACAGTCATTAAGTTTTACAGTGTGTTAGGTTGGTGACAGTTTAAACGGGTACACAGGAATTTGACAGTTGGTTCCATTTTTAAAATAAAGCCTAATTCTTGAATTTTTTTTCTAATGCCTTAACTTTTTTTCCTAATGGCTTAACTCTAGGACTTAACCTTTTGCTTTCTTTTTTAGCCATGATCCGAAGAACCCCTCTAGCCGCCTAATGAAATAACTATACAGAAGTAAGGGAGGTAGAATAGAGAAAGATCATACTCAAACCCTGATCACAGTGAAGGCAAATGAGAAAGCTTTCTGTAGTAATTAAACTGGGGTCGTAACTCATTTTCCCTTGTAGCCCAGAACTAAGGATTTTTTCTTAAGCTATTCTCATCTCATTGCATTTTCTTAACAAGAAGTCAGAAGGCATTCTGATAAGTTGGATACATTGAAATGAATAAGCAATAGAGTTCGGCCTATATAATCCTTATTATTGATATATTTCATAGCAGCTCTAAAAAAATCATAGACTTACATTGTTTTATTTTACCCAAGAAAGAAAACAAAGGCTGCCAATGGAACTATGCCATACCACTGTTAAGTAAGGCACCTTTAAGCCACATTTTTTTTTTTTTTTTTTTTCTTTGAGACAGGGTCTCACTCTGTCTCCCAGACTGGAGTGCAGTGGCGCCATCTCGGCACACTGCAATTTCCGCCTCCCAGGCACAAGTGATTCTCCTGCCTCAGCCTCCGGAGGATCTGGGATTACAGGCATGCACCACCATGCCCAGCTAATTTTTGTATTTTTAGTAGAGAGGGGATTTCACCATGTTGGCCAGGCTGGTGTTGATCTCCTGACCTCAAATGATCCACCCGCCTCGGCCTCCCAAAATGCTGGGATTACAGGCATGAGCCACCGTGCTCGGCCTGAAACATATTCAGAGATGTAAACGCGTGAGAAACAACGAGTCTTAGAATCTCTGAGATATTGTCATGAACTGGTGTTCCAAAGAGGAAAAGATTCTACCAGGTTCTGTTCTGAAGCCTGAGAGACTGTAGTACAAATAAATGTGGAGGAAGTTTATTATTCTGTGACATTATTTCAGCAAAGCTAGTAACTTTGGAGTTTGTTAACAGTTAACCTGTCTCCTGTTTTCTAGAGGCATGTTTTTCAAACTGCAACTCAAAAATCCATTTTATTTTTATATGAAATAGGCTAGGATATAAAAGATCAGAGTGCATAATATCTAGTAAGGGCAAAAATTGCTTCCTGAAACTTTTTGTTTCAAATATGGTGGAAGGTGAGAGTATGTTCTGTTGTGATTTAAACAGTTTCTTACTGTGAGTTACAATCAAATAGATTTGGAAAAGAATGTTTCTAGATCGTAGATAACATGCAAAACACACCATATGGACCCTGTTTTTCTGGTACTTTTCTTTTACTTTGGAAACTGAGACTAAAGATTGGAGAAAGGTGGCAAATTGCCTTGCCTAATTCTCTTCTGCCTCAGCCCCAGTTTCATACATTGGCTTTTGAAAATTTGATCATTTGTTGTAAAAAGCAAGAAGCAAGGAAGCCTAGGTTACAGACTTAGCTAATGAGATATATGACTACATAAATTACTCTCTGCATTTCAAGTTCTGAAGTAGGACTACATGCTCTTTGAGAAATGATACTAAACCACCCTTTTTTCCCCGGCAGATGACAATCACATTTTGAAACAAACAGCCATGGTATACTCAGGATTATGCAAATAACTGACAGCCTAGGTTTAACTCGTTTCAGCTCCACTCAAAAAAAAAGAAAGTCCTAATGCAAGTAACCGAAAGTGAAGATATTGCAAAACAAATGTAAGTATATCTTTCACAATCTTCTCTAATTTAATTATCACTAGCATAATAGTTACTTGTCATGAATAACTAATGATTTTGACATGCTTAACAACTGATTGCAACACAAAAATATATTAATCCACTACAGTTGAAAAATCGTTTTTTCAGATCCTTTCAAATCTAATATTGTGATTCCAGGAAATGATAATTCAATCTAGCATTTTCAATGTAATGACAACATAAACAGAAACTAATACGTGATCCTGCACTGTAACTGAAAAACATTCAGTGACTCCCAGAGATACCCTGCAAGTTTGCTACTCTTACAATGATTTTAAGAATGACATTTTGAAATAAAGCTTTTTTATTATAACGATCCGATTTTAACTCCAATGAGAATTCATCTCTTTTGCCTACTGCTTTATTAATTATACATTTCTAAGAATGAGAAGTTCTTTCCAAATTAGTTTAAGCACTGACAGGCTTGACAGCCTTTCCCAGAGTATATTTCAACCCTGACCTAGAATGACAGAGATGTGGCTTGAGGTTGTTTGCTTTTTTCCATTTGGCTTATCCTGTTAGACACTTAGGTTACTGACAATTACTAATCAGGATTCTAGACTAAAATCCTCATTTTCTGGAAGAGAATTTAGATTAAGAGCAACCTCAGCCATAAATAAGGTATTCAACACAGCTTTGAAGACTCCTATTCTTATTGGTCATGTGATTTGCTTCAGCCAGTGCTTTGTGAGCAGATGTTAAATGCTAAATCAAAGCAGAAGCTTTAAATTTGATTGCAAAATTCAGGTCAATCTCTTACTCTTGTGCCACCTGCCATGAGAAAGGTATGTTCCAGATAAGATCTCAGAATAAGAAAATATATGGAGCAGACCTGAAACTCTCATCCTGTACAGAACTGAAGCAACTGACTTGCAGCTCCTGACATACAGCTACTGATGTGAAACAAGAGTAAAACAAAAATATTTATTGTTGTGAATCACAAATATTTTTGAGGTTGTTGCATAGCATAATCTTGCAAATCATCTAAAGTGAATTTGAGCCAACAAATTCGTGAGTCAAAGGCTAAATGTGCTATGTAACAATAATACTTGTCTATTTAATAAAATAAATAACAGACACCTACAAACTAGTCAACCAGCTATTTGGTAAATATCCACCTAAAATGTATGTTAAGAAGTAGTCTTTATAAAATCTATAGATTTGCATGCAAAATATTTTCATGTAAGCTATTTACATATTAATTTTAAATATTTCTGTTTAGTATTATTTGTCTTAAGTATCCCTTGAGGAAAATTTGGATAATAAATTATAAAGAGAATATAGGATTCTGTTTCTAGAAATATCAAGGACTAGGTCACACTGGTCACACTGAAAACAAAATCCCTGGAAAAAACATTTTTTAAATCTTATTAAATATACTGATTAACTGACAATAAAGTAAGAAATTATTAAGTTAAAAAACTAAATGAAGGCAGAAACCTAGAGTTTAGCAGAGTCAGCCAACTTTTATCTCAAAGGCATGTGCTAAACCCAGTTACTAGGAGCTTTGGTTTTCATGACCTTGTAAGAAAGACACAAAACCCATGACCTGCATTACACACACACACACACACACACACACACACACACACACACACACTGCAATTCCAAAGGATTTTTAATTAGGTGTAAGGATATACTGGCAATAAAATTGCCCCTTGCTAGCATAGGCAGCCATCCCCCAGAGTCTACAAAGAAAATTAGCCATCTTAAACCTTGGCACCTAGTGGACGGGGAAAAGCAAAATCATATCTGAGAATTTGGAACCGCAATCCAATTCTCACACAAAAATGTAGCTTGAATTCATACTAGCTGGGTGATCCCCAAAAACCTCAGGCTAATAATTAAGTGTTTTTTTTTTTTTTTTTTTTGACAGGGATTCTCACTCTGTCTCCCTGGTTGGAGTGCCTTGGCGCAATCTCGGCTCACTGCAACCTCTGCCTCCCAGGTTCAAGCTTCTGCCTCAGCCTCCCAAGTAGCTGGGACTACAGGCACGTGCCACCACACCCAGCTAATTTTTTTGATTTTTAGTAGAGACGGGAGTTTCACCGTGTTGGCTAGGCTGGTCTCAAACTCCTGACCTCAGGTGATCCGCCCACCTCCACCTCCCAATCCTGGGATTATAGGCATGAGCCACCATACCTGGGCATAATTAAGAATTTTTTACTGATAATGCTCTCAGACACCTGGCAGAAGCAAATACCAATCCTCTCTGGAGGAACCCACCTTCATCTTAAGCCATAAAGAATGACTACAAATAAAATTTTAAGGAAAATGAGCAGCTCACATTTTAAAAAAGTAACAAGCACAAAATAAGACACCATTCATGAGAAACAGTACAGACTTAAGACAGCACAAACAAATTCTAAAAGACTTCAGATCCTGGATTTACAAGTCACAGACTGGGCCAGGTGTGGTGGCTCACGCCTGTAATCCCAGCACTTTGGGAGACCAAGGCAGGCAGATCACTTGAGGTCAGGCATTTGAGACCAGCCTGGCCAACATGGTGAAACCCCCATCTCTGCTAAAAATACAAAAAATTAGCCTGTAATCCCAGTTACTGGAAAGGCTGAGGCAGGAGAATCACTTGAACCCGGGAGGTGGAGGTTGCAGTGAGCCAAGCTGCACTCCGGCCTGGGCGACAGTGAGACTCCACCTCAAAAAAAAAAAAAAGGGGGTCACAGACTGTAAATAACAATATTAAATATGAGTAAAGGAATAAAAGACAAGTTTGAAAATACGTGCAGAGAACAAAAACTAAAGTAGGACTGAAGATTTTGAAACAAGCAAATAGAACTGAAAGAATTGAAAAATATAAATGATTACAATAAAAACACGTTGGACAAATTTCATAGTTCATTTGACACAGCAGAAGTACAAGCCAATGAAATGGAAGATAGAGATGAAGTTATCTCAAATGCAATAAAAAAAGAAAACATAAATTAAAAATATAAAAGAGACTTTAAGTGACATGGAGGACACTGTAAACAGCTCTAAAATCTGTGACTTCAGATGAAAAGGAAAGAGCCAGTGGGCCAGAGGCAATATTTGACAAGATAATGGTTGTGAACTTTCCAGAACTGATGAAAGACTCCAACTCACAGACTTAAGAAGCCTCCCAAATCCCAAGCAAGTTAAAGAATAAAAAAACCACACTAAGATGCATCACAGTGAAACTGCAGAACACCAAAAACAAAAAAGAAAACCTTAAAAGCAACGAAGAAAAAATATAGTTAATCTTCAAAGTGTCAGGTAAATGACTTTTCATCACAACCAGTAAAAACCAGAAGACAGTGGAATAATATCTTCAGTGGCCTAAAAGAAAATGACTATCAGCCTAGAATTCAGTACCCAGTGAAAAAAATATTTCAAGAACGAGGCCAAAATAAAGGTATTTTCCGGCAAGCAAAAGCAGAATTTGCTACTAATAGAGTCTTGCTAAAGGAAAGTCTAAAGAAATTTCTTTTTTCAGACAAAAAGAAAATGATCCCAGGCCAGGCACAGTGGCTCATGCCTGTAAATCCCAGCACTTTGGGAGGCTGAGGCAGGAGGATCACAGGATTTTGAGACCAGCCTGGACAACATATTGAGATTTTATCTCACAAAAATATTAAAAATTAGCTGGGCATGGTAATATGGGCCTGTAGTCCTGACCCAGGAGGCTGAGGTAAAAGGATTGCTTGAGCCTGGGAAATCAAGGCTGCAGTGAGACATGATTGCACCATTATACTCTAGCCTGGGTGACAGAGAGAGAGAGACCCTGTCTCAAAAAAAAAAAAGAAGAAAATCGACCCAAATGGAAGGTCTGAGAGTTGAGAATAAACGAAGAGCATTATGAGTGGTAGATATTTGCCTAAATCTAAATATAATTGACAATGCAAACAAACAGTAAGTATTGTTAAAATTATTTTAATACGATTTTTTTAAAGAAAAATATCACATCTAACATTAGAAATAGGCCCAATCAAATTTGCATTTTATGCCTACTATTAAACAGACCTCATTAGACCAAGTGTTTTACAAACTAGTACTATTATCTCCATCTGACACATACCTCTAAAAGCAAAAACATGATACATTTCTTCTTTTCTCATCCATAGAGGCAAATTGTATTAATATATTATTGGTATTCTCTTTTTAAATAACATCACTTTAAGTGTTTTTCTTCACAATGACATTTCAAATTTATGTAATGTACCAGTGAAGATGATGTATTATATAATTAGATTAAGAAAGTACCATATATTTAGAAGATCATGATTTAGAGAAATAAAAAGCACAATTATATACTACTTTCACTTAACTATGAAGTATTAATGATTCCTCCATAGAAGTCTATAAATGAAAGTTCATCATAACAAATTATATAATTATGTATTCACAGGTTAAAGACAATTAAGTCTTATTGAAATGCTCTGCCTACTCTTTCCACCCACATTGCATATTCAAAATTAGGTACATGCTATGACTTTTAACACCATCTCGGGAAATAGCTAGAAATTTGTACTGAGGTATAAGAATTGACTCCTGAGTTTTAACTCAATTCATAGGACATCCTAAATTCAAAATAAATTCTAATAATAATAAGAACCCATTTCTTTCTGATAGCTACTTAGACTACATATTTCCAATTGTAAATGTGTTTTTCATTTCAATTTTGGGAAAGGGTTTTTTTTTTTAAGTTTTTCATGACTATTTAAACATGGGAAGCTTAGAACACATGATCCCTTAGATTTCCAAAGGTGTAAGTATAATGCAAATGAATTATACCTTACTTTAACCAGAACCTTTCTCTTTTTTCCCCTCAACCACATGAGATTATTCAAAGTATATTTACTTGTATACTACTTTGTTTTTGTTTTAGAATCAGGGTCTCACTCTGTCACCCAGGCTGAAGTGCAGTGGCATGCACTGCAGCCTCAAACTCCTGGGTTCAAGTGATCTCCCTCGTCAGCCTCCTGAGTCACTGGGATTACAAGCATGAGCCACCACACCCTAGAATATTTTCTTGATAAAACCGAATCTATAATTTTATTGAAGACTATTCAAATGACTTTTATTTATATTTAATATATGTAAAAGTTTATATATTACTAGTATTCCTATTAACTACTAGATTACTAGCTAATTGCAAGATTATTCCAGTTAGCTTTGTCCAACCTGTATTTATACAAGTACATGAAACTCTTGAGAAGTCACAGTAATTAAATTTTCATAAACCAGGTGGTATATTAATTCTTTCAATTTAATAAGTTATCAGTTTGTACTGGGTCTTACACTCATTTACAAAAAAAAATTATCAAGTATCTGTATGTTGTTCTACCTCATTCCTAAAATGTGTGTAAAGCTAGAAGAGTCCTCACCCTATAAACCAGCAGTATTTCAAAACTCATTGTTACTGTTCTGGGAGTGAAGGTGCCATATATTCTTACAGCATTATCAGGTAGCAACCATCTACTCACTCCTCCCAACCACGGGTACTACCTAGATGTCTTTTGCCAGATCTCCCAGGTATTTAGTGCCTCTTTTACCTCTACAGAACACTGGTACCCAGAAGTGATATGGTGGGAAAAGAAGGCACCTACCCTATATTCCAATAAAGTGTGTCCACTGCATTCCTGTCAGATTCATTCCTCTGTTCTAGGCCTTGTTGGTATTCTCCCCTAGTTGTTTCCAGTCCATTTCTATGGGAGCCTTACTTTTGTCTGGTATTCTTACGTGCACAGCTGAAACCAGACTCCCAGTCTCATTCCCTTAATTGTATCCTTTAACCCTTAATCCCTGTAATATCCTCCTGGAACTGGGATTGATACACCTCTATTTAAGACTTTATCTTTGAATGTCAACTTACTTCCAGACATGGCCACCAACTCCACCCCGTGATCCCACATTGCTACTTACTCCCCACTTCCTTCTGCAGTCAGCAAATAGACTTGGACCTGATATTCTTTGTGTCCTAAGCCCCCCACCCCTTCCTTAAGTTGCTAAAGTAGTACACTAAAAGAATACAATTATCTGAACTGAGGGCGGGGAAAATTCCAGAGAAAAATGACCTTCGTGTGACAAACAAAGGCAAGAGAGTAAAAGGGAGGGCACTGTTAGAGATTTAAAATAGACTTATCGGATACATCAACCAAGGCAGTACATGGATCTTTACCTTTATCAGATTCTGACTCAAACAAACAACTTAGAAAAAGACATAATGACACAATCAGGAAAATTTTAATACCAACTAGATATTATAGGACATTAAGGAATTATTGTTAATTGTCTTAGCTGTGATAATGGTACATGATTATGGTTTTTGTTTTTTTAATGTCTCATTTCCTAAAGACATTCTAAAATGTCACTGGGTCCCTGCTTTAGGAAAAAAAGAAAAGAAAAGAAAACTTTCAGAGTATGTCACTTTCTTTTTTATACCTGTCAGTCAATTCCATGGGAAAGTATTACTACTTGTTATTTTCTACCCTTAACCAAATACAGTAATCATTTTCTCCTTATCATATCTAGTAGTATTTTTCAGTAAAAAGTGTTCAAATCAAAAGCAATCCATGCTGCCTACCTGGTATTTGCTCCAAACATCTGTTAAACCACTATGAAAGGCCTAACATCTTAAGACTGGTGGTAAATAAATCTGATTGAGCATGTTAACACGTTCAAATTTATATAAAGCATTCTGCAAATATAGATTACTCTAGAGATGCTAAGAAGCAGATGTACTGGTCTCCTTGGCATTGGCATTCACATGATTCAGCTACAAATAGAATTTGAACAGATTCCAAGTGCACAACTGTCAAATTCATAAAAAGTAGCAAAAAAATGTCAAATAAAAATTTAGATTTTTCCTAGAATAGCAGTGACTGTGTTTAAAAAAAATTGAAATATTCTGTTAATGTTTTATTTCTTCAGTGCTAATATTTGACAAGAACTAAGTACTTTGATTTCCATTGAATAAGCAGTGATAGCCCAGAAACTGTTGTAAGTTAGTGTTACTATTGGGTCCACAGAAAACTTCAAAATACATTTTAACCAATATTACAAAGTTAATACAAATTTGATTCACTGAAGTAGTATAGTGCAGTGTGTTTGAGTTCTAACACCAAAGTCAGACAGATCTCAGTTCTAACCCTAGCTTTGTCATTTACCACCAAGGCTGTCATCTGTAAAAATCATCTGTAAAATAGGAATTTTAAAAAAACCTCTTTTATAATACGATAAGAATTAAAGAACTCAAGAAATATAAGCTATTATAGTCACTACCTTTTGAGAATATTATGTTCTACACAATATTACTAACCCCACTACACCAAGTTGAAGGAAAATTACACACAGACCATACACTCTACCATCCTCTCATTCATACCAAGGCTTTTGTAGCAACTGGCCTGATTCTGAGGTTTATAGAAGATACGTAGGCAGGCATGACTGCAGGCCATTATGCAGCTTTATGTAATAATATACACACCCCTAATATGTAAGTATCAGGAACTTTCATGTGATGTGAAAATGAAAGCCACTTCCTTAACAACCAGGAAACACTAAATTTCAGAGTTATGTTTTCCATTCAAGTTAATCTCTAGCCAGACCTCCTCTTACAATACATGGAGTTAACATTCCAAGCCAGTCACCTCTTGCCACACTTATTTCTTAGTATAACAAATTACAGTAAATAAAACTTATCAGCCAGGCACTGTGCCTCATGCCTATAATCCCAGCAATTTGAGAGGCTGAGGTGGGAGGATCACTTGAGGTCGAGAGTTCAAGATCAGCCTGAGGAACATGGCAAGACCCTGTCTCTACAAAAAATTTAAAAATTAGCCATGTGTGGTGGCACATGCCTGTAATTTCAGCTACTCGGGAGATTGTGGCAGGAGGATCACTTGAGCCCAGGAGTTCGAGGCTACAGTGAGCTATGATTGTGCCACTGCATTCCAGCCTGGGCAACAGAGCAAGAGGGCACTGGCTCTAAAGACAAAAAACAAAAACAAAACTTACCTCTAAGGATGATGCAGTAATGCACACATGTCCTTATTATTATTCTTTTGCCTTCACAGTGTTGCATAGCAACCCAGAACGTCTTATGTATGATTTTGGGTGTAAAAATGGCTTTTTGAAATATTTATTTGAAATCTTTCTTTGAAACATGTAAGATAGATATAAAGGTTTCAGGCAAATTCAAGTTAAACATTTAGGGCTAGAATACTAATAGGTTATATATTTTTATATAGTATCTTTCATGCTATTTGATTAATGCACAACTATTGATATTTAGACTGACAACTGAATTGATGATATGATGACAGACTCTTCCCTCCACTGTAAACTATGGTAAGTAATTTGTATGGCATTATTTTGATACTATACAGATGTCCAGTTCCCCTTCAAACATAAACCTTATGCTTTAACACCTATTGAAAACCCTTACATGAGTCAATAATTTCAATAAGAATTGCAAAATAATTATAAATATATCATTCCTTCTACATTCTGACTTTCTTCGGTAACCTAGAGCTTGCCTTTATTACCTGGAACTATTTGGTTATCCTGAAATACAGCCCCTACTGTAAGGGAAAAGTAAATAATAATTCTTTGCTTTTAATTACAAATTTTCAAAGTAAAGATATTTTGGAGACTAATGGAAAAATTTGGATTTGGGTTTTAGATAAGATAAAAATGTATTCACTTGGAAAGGTGAAGATTGTTAATTTTAAAAAGTAAATAGGTTACAAAACCACACACTGAGTATGATATCATTTTGGTAAAAATACATTTATATATTTATATGCATATATAGGGATAAATAATGAACTGGAGAGATATACACTGAACTGTTAAACTCTGGAAGGGGGGAATGTGGTTGTTTTTATTTTTCTATATTGCTTATATGTCGTTTTGTACTTTCTACTTGCATATGCTAGTTTTATAATAATAAAAGGTTATTTTAAAAAGAAAATCACTATTTTCCACTGAGCCCAGATACAGCTTCTGAATCACCATCAACATGAGACTGATACATTCCAGCATGGGAGGCTGCCAGGGCACCAGCCCAGCTGGTTACTTCTTCAAAGAAGTAACTACTGATTTCCTTTTGCTTACTGATTTCCTTTGCCTATGCATCTTACCCATGGCTCAAGGTTACCTTAGCACTAAATCCAATTAGCCTTTTCACTTTGGCAGTCCTTACCAATTGGCAACTTCTTTGTCTCTTGGCTTGCTTTTGGGCAAAAATTACCTTCTTCTTTAGTTTTTGAGTCATTATATCCTCTTGGTTTTCTTCCTACCTTTCTGACTTCTCAGTCTCCTTTGAAAGTTTACGATTTCGGCCGGGCACGGTGGCTCAAGCCTGTAATCCCAGCACTTTGGGAGGCCGAGGCGGGTGGATCACGAGGTCAGGAGATCGAGACTATCCTGGCTAACATGGTGAAACCCCGTCTCTACTAAAAATACAAAAAAAAACTAGCTGGGCGTGGTGGCGGGCGCCTGTAGTCCCAGCTACTTGGGAGGCTGAGGCGGAGCTTGCAGTGAGCCGAGATCGCGCCACTGCACTCCAGCCTGGGAGACACAGCGAGACTCTGTCTCAAAAAAAAAAAAACAAAACAAAATCAAAAAAAAAAAAAAAAGAAAGTTTACGATTTCTTTAATTTCCCCCACAATTCCATACTCAGCCTTCTGCCTTCACTCTGTATCTTTTTCCTGAAAAAGGGAGGAGGGAAGAGAATACATTTTATGTTCTAATTCATGTTAATCTATCAAATAGATATCTATAGCCTTGTTCTCTCTCCTGAAGAATATAGTCACATATATAATCACAAATTATTATAAACTCCATTTAGACATTTCACCTGAAAAATATATAAAACAACTCAATCTCTATGCATTAATTTTTCAATAGTTATTAGTCATCTTCTGAGCATCAGGTTGTGCTAGAAACTGAAATATATACTAAAGTGAGTAAAACTGGCATAGCTGGAAATTAAGTTGAAGAAGTAAATAGAGGCCAAGTCCTATAGGAGATTTCATGGAATGTGTATTAGTCTGTTCTCACGCTGCTAATAAAGACATACCCAAGACAGGGTAACTTATAAAGGAAAGAGGTTTAATTGACTCACAGTTCCACATGGCTAGGAGGCCTCACAATCATGGCAGAAAGCTAATGAGGAGCAAAGTCACGTCTTAATGGTGGAAGGCAAAAGAGACAGCATATGCAGGGGAACTCTCTTTTATAAAACCATCAGATCGACTGGGTGCAGTGGCTCACACCTGTAATCCCAACACTTTGGGATGCTGAGAAGATCACCCGAGGTCAGGAGTTTGAGACCAGCCTGGTCAACATGGTGAAACCCCATCTCTACTAAAAAATGCAAAAATTAACTGAGCATGATGGCACGCACCTGTAATCCCAACTACTTGGGACGCTGAGGCAGGAGAATTGCTTGAACCCAGGAGGTGGAGGTTGCAGTGAGCCAAGATCATGCCACCGCACTCCAGCCTGGGCAACAGAACAAGACCCTATCTCAAAAAAAAAAGGGGGGGGGGCTGGGCGCGGTGGCTCATGCCTGTAATCCCAGCACTTTGGGAGGCTGAAGTGGGCAGATCACGAGGTCAGGAGATCAAGACCATCCTGACCAACACAGTGAAACCCTGTCGGCACTAAAAATACAAAACAATTAGGCGCACATGGTGGCGCATGACTGTAGTCCCAGCTACTCAGGAGGCTGAGGCAGGAGAATCACTTGAACCCAGGAGACAGAGGTTGCAGTGAGCTAACATGGCACCATTGCACTCCAGTCTGGGTGACAGAGTGAGACTGTTAAACAAACAAACAAACAAACCATCAGATCATTATTCATTATCACAAGAACAGTACAGGAAAGACCCGCCCCCATAATTCAATTACCTCCCACCGGGTCCCTCCCAAGATGTGTGGGAATTATGGGAGCTATAATTTGAGATGAGATTTGGGTGGGGACACAGCCAAACCATATAATTCTACCCTGGCTCCTCCAAAATCTTAAGTCCTCACATTTCAAAACCAATCATGCCTTTCCGGTGGTCCCCCCAAAGTCTTAACTCATTTCAGCATTAACTCAAAAGTCCACAGTTCAAAGTCTTATCTGGGACAAGGCAAGTCCCTTCTACCCATGAACCTGTAAAATCAAAAGCAAGTTAGTTACTTCCTAGATACAATGGAAGTAAAGGCATTGGGTAAATATAATCATTCCAAATGGGAGAAATTGGCCAAAACTAGGGGGCTCCAGGCCCCATGCAAATCTGAAATCCAGTAGGGCAGTCACTAAACCTTAAAGTTCCAAAATGATCTCCTTTGACTCCATGTCTCATATCCGAGGCATGCTGATGCAAAAGGTGGGCTCCCACAGCCTTGGGTATCTTTGCCCTGTGGCTTTGCAGGATGCAGTCAGTCCCCATCCTGGCTGCTTTCACAGGATGGCATTGAGTGTCTGGCTTTTCCAGGCACACAGTGCAAGCTATCAGTGGACCTACCATTCTGGGGGTTCTGGAGTCTGGAGGACAGTGGCCCTCTTCTCACAGCTCCACTAGGCAGTGCCCCAGTGGGAAATCTGTGTGGGAGCTCCCACCCCATATTTCCCTTCCACACCGCCCTAGCAGAGGTTCTCCATGAGATCTCTGGCCCTGTAGCACACTTCTGCCTGGACATCTATGCATTTCCATACATCCTCTGAAATCTAGGTGGAGGTTTCCAAACCTCAATTTTTCCATGCATCCATAGGCAAATGCCATGTGTAAGCCACCAGAGCTTGGGACTTGCACCCTCTGAAGCAATGGCCTGAGCTGTACATTGGCCCCTTTTAGCCATGGCTGGGACAAAGGGCATCAAGTCCCAAGACTGCACAAAGTAGCAAGGCTCTGGGTGCGGTCCACAAAACCATTTTTTCCTCTAGGCCTCCAGGCCTGTCGGGGGAGGGGCTGCTGTAATGACCTCTGACATGCCATGGAGACATTTTCCCCATTGTCATGGAAATTAACATTTGGTTCCTCATTACTTACACAAATTTCCACAGCCAGTTTGAATTTTTCCTCAGAAAATGGGTCATTCTTTTATATTGCATCATCAGGCTGCAAATTTTCCAAACTTTTATGCTCTGCTTCCCTTCTAAACATAAGTTCCAATCCAAACCATATCTTTGTGAATGCAAAAACTGATGCTTTTAACAGCACCCAGATCACCTCTTGAATGCTTTGCTGCTCAGAAATTTCTTCCATCAGATACCCTAAATCATCCATCTCAAGTTCAGTGTTCCACAGACCTATAGGACAGGGGCAAAATGCCACCAGTCTCTTTGCATAGCAAGAGTGGCCTTTACTCCAGTTCCCCAAAAATTCCTCATCTGCATCTGAGACCACCTCAGCCTGAACTTTATTGTCCATATCACTATCAACATTTTAGTCAAAACCATTCAACAAATCTCTAGGAAGTTCCAAACTTTCCCACATTTTCCTGTCTTCCTCTGAGCCCCCCAAACAATTCCAACCTCTGCCTATGACCCAGTTCCAAAGCCACTTCCACATTTTCAGGTATCTTTTCAGCAGCATCCCACTCTGCTGGTACCAATTTACTGTATTAGTCTGTTCTCACGCTGCTAATAAAGAAATACCTGGGACTAGGTAATTTATAAAGGAAAGAGGTTTCATTGACTCACAGTTCCACATGGCTTGCTTGGGAGGCTTTACAATCATAGCAGAAGGCAACACTGCTTCAATACTGGAGTACATCTGGACATATGTCTAAAATGTTACAATTAGGTTTTGATGTAGGAGGCAAGTGTAATAATAATTTAAATGCAAATAAATTAAACTCCACAATCAAAAGACATAGAGTGGTGAATGAATTAAAAATAAAGACCTAACTATCCAGTGTGCATAAGATACTCACTTTAACCTAAGGACACACATAAACTGCACTGAAAGAATGGAAAGAGATATACCATGCTAGCTGGGTGCAGTGGCTCACACTTGTAATCCTAGCACTTTGGGAGACCAAAGCAGGCAGATCACTTGAGGCCAGGAGTTTGAGACCAGCCTGGCCAACATGGTGAAACCCTTTCTCTACTAAAAACAAAAATATTAGCCAGGCATGATGGTGGATGCCTGTAATCTCAGCTACTCAGGAGGTTGAGGCAGGAGAATTGCTTGAACCTGGGAGGCGGAGGTTGCAGTGAGCCAAGATCATGCCACTGCACTCCAGCCTGAGCAACAGAGTGAGACTCCATCTCAAAAAAAGAAAAAAGAGAAAAAGATATATAATAAGACATATAATAAACTTCCATATGTGTGTGTGTGTGTGTGTG